TCTTAAAAGTGCATATATATATATATATGTTGGTTTAGGTTTTATCACTTGCATTAATAAGAACACAATCAATCACCTCACAGCTTCGTTTCTCCAACATTATTCTATGAGAAGAGTTTGTTATTCAAGGCTTTAGATTCTTGATTTGAAAAATAATAGTACTATACATTAACAGGTTATAATTAGATACAGAGATTAAAAAAATCCTTTAATGTAATCAATGCCACACACATTGTAAAGACACTAAATAATCACTTCCATTAGACTTAGGTTTTTCTATGACAATGTCAACACCAAATGGTTTTCCCCTGAAATTTATAGACAGAGTAAAGTTCAGTTTTATGGGATTGTTCTTAATTATTATGAATGGCGCTTTTATTTCAAGACGTCAACAAAGACAATTACTTAACCACATACAACCAGGAGGGGCCTTCTTGTCTAAAACACTTCAAACACCATCCCACAGTACTAAATCGTCTTCATGTTATGTAATTCAGTTATTCTACTTACCAAACCAATAATGGAAGACAATTTAGTGTGGAACCTCTATAATCGTCATTAATCTGCTCCTGAGGGCCTAAAGAATATGGAAACCATTTTTCCATAAGAAATAAGAAATTTAATTAATCTGTTCCCAGCCCCCCAAAAACCAGCGTTCAATGTAATGAAACGCCATTTTTTGGGCGAGTCCCGGAGGCTCCCGCAGTTGCCGGGGAGCCTCTGGGACTCACCCAGAAAATGGCGTTTCATTACATTCAATGCTGGTTTTCTGGGGGAGCCCCTACAGCTCCCCGGAGCTATCCATGGCTGATAGGATACCCTAACTATTTTGCATTAGTCGATGTGGGTGGCATTCTACGCCTACCGGGGACCACGAGCCAGAACCTGACCCCCTTCACAGAGGCACGAGGAACAATGGCCCATAGAAATGCACATGTGATTTGGAGCATTATATATCTGCCATCGACCGGGACAGTCACCCAGAAAGGTAAGCGCCACAAAACAAACCCCTATTCTGGTTAACAACGAAAATCGTCAAATGGGTGGGCAGAACTCCCCAAAAGAAAAACGAGCAAACAAGTACAGTATGACGTCACACGAGCTGTGCTGCATGTCTGCACAGCTCCCCCCTCCCTGGGAGGGGGAAGGGGAAGCCCAAGACCCCTCGCGCTGGCAATCCCCACCTCAGTTCCTTGGCTGATGGGATCGTGCATGGTTGTGTGGCTCCAACTCCAGTCTTCTCTCTGGGCTGTTCATTGGGAGTAACTGGGCTGGGAGTATTATTCTCAGGTACTTGGGCTGCATGTGCTTAGGGTCTCCTTCCCTGAATGCCTTGCAAGTACCGCCCTTGGGGCTTGGGGTTCTCTTCCACAAGTCGCCTGGGTCTACCTCTGTTGGCCTTTTGCTGCTTGGCGTTGGGTCGCTCCGAGTATTTGGGGGTTTTCCTCCCTTATTTGCCTTAGGGTAAGTGGTAGTTATTGCACTGGTGGGGCGCAGGGTACTGCGTAGCTAGTTTTCACCTATAACAGCAGCCGGCTCCATTCCCTCTAGGTACGTTGACCACTTGCATGGTTTTTCTTTTCTTTTTGTTTTTGTCTGGTGGGGGGGGGGGGTCTGCCTTATGTTCTCCCTCCCTCCTTATATTAGGGTCATTTTGTGTGGTGGCACCCCCTGCTTTGCCCTCATGAGTGGACACGTCCCGTGGATTCAGCTTTTAGCAGGTTGCCCGGTGTCCGAACCCGAGGTTTTTCCACGGCTCCCCCTCTTTCAGGAGATCAGCCCAGTCCGGTATGAGACTGGTTCGCTCTTCTCCGCAAGTCTTCATGTTTGGTGTTTTTGACTCATGTTTATCGCCATCTCTATGGTGATCGGGTGGCCTCCTTGCTGGTTTCCCACCTGCGGGCTTCCTCTCAGCGGCAGTATGAGGTTTCCTGGCGGTCCTTCCGGTTCTTTTTGTCCCTTCGTTGTTGCTCTTCGCTTTCAGTTCGGGTGGTGTTGTCCTCTCTCTCTCTTGGTTGTTCCAGGACCGTCATCTTATGCCTAATAATGTTGCCTCGTATCGTGCGGTGCTGGCAGAGCCGCTGCAGCTTGCTTTTGGTATCGATGTTACTTCTGCGCCGTTTCGCAAGCTGTCTCATGCGTTGTTTTACCTCCGGCCTCCTCGTGCGCCGCCTGAGCTGTCCTAGTCTTTGGACAGGGTGCTCTCCTATATTTCTTCTCCTTGGTTTGTTGTGGCCCCTTTGGTTCAGGATTGTTTTGCTAAGGCTCTTTTTCTGTTGGCATTAGCCTCTGGAGGTCGTGTGACGGAGCTTCATGCTCTTCTCTGGCGCAGGGGTTTTTGCTCTTTTGGTCGTGGTCATAGGTACTGTATGTCCGTCTACAGCTGACTCCTTTTCTGGCAAAGAATGAGACTGCTGCCTTCCGGAGGGGTCCTTGGGTTGTTGATGCTTGGTTGGTCAGGCCGGGGGTTCATCATGTGTTGTGTTCGGTTGTGGTCCTCCGCCGTTATCTGCACACGACGGCTTCTGTGTCCAGGGACGTGCTTTGGGTTGATCCGGTTTTCCTCCTTCCCTGTTTGCGGATTCGGGTCTCTCAGGTTGTTTGCAGGGTAATTAAATTCAGCCAGCCTGTGGTCTATTCCCGTGCCCATGACATTCGTAAGTTTGCTGCTCTTGCTGCCGTCTTTGGCAATATGTCTTGGGCTGACATACAGGCATGGGGTTTTTACAGTCGAACAGGGTCCTGGCAGCACGCTACCTTGTAAACGTTCCTGGGCCCAGTCGGGTCTGTGTTGCTTTGGGTCAGTGGTGGCAGCCCGTTGTCTCGACTTCGAGTTGAGGAGTGGAGCACCGACCACGTCCCAGATAAATCCCCTTTTTTCTTTTGATGTCTTTGGTGAAGTAGCTCCGGGGAGCCAACGGGGCTACCCTCCCCCCCCCCCCCCCCGAAAATCAGCAATGAATGTAATGAATTGCCAATATCTGGGCGAGTCCCGGAGGCTTCCCGGCAACCGGTCGGCGTTTTTTTTCACGGTTTTTTATATCCAGCCTCAGAACTGGGGTGAGGATCACTGGCACGAGGGGTCTGGGGCTCCCCCTTCCCCTTCCCGGGAAGGGGGAAGCTGCGCAGACATGCAGTGCGGCTCGTGTAACGTCATGCTTGTTTGCTCGTTTTTCTTTTGGGGAGTTCTGTCCACTCGTTTGACAATGTTCGTTGTTAACCAGAATAGGGGTTTGTTTTATGGCGCTTACCTTTCTGGGTGACTGTCCCGGTCGATGGCAGATATAGAATGCTCCAAATCACATGTGCATTTCTATGGGCCATTGCTCCTCGTGCCTCTGTGAGGGAGCCAGGTTCTGGCTCATGGTCCCCGGTAGGCCCCGCATCAACTGATGCAAAATAGTTAGGGTATCCTATCAGCCATGGATAGCTCTGGGAAGCCGTAGGGGCTCCCACCAGAAAACCAGCGTTGGATGTAATGAAACACCATTTTCTGGGCGAGTCCCAGAGGCTCCCCGGCAACTCCGGGAAGCTGTAGGGGCTCCCCCCAGAAAGTAGTATAAATTAAAATTTAGCCAGAACTTTACCTTAACTATAGTGAGGAGAGATGATGGTAGAAGCTGAAGAGGGGGAAAGGAATAATTGTTTAGAAGGGGAGTCACTTTCCATTAAACCATCAAGTAACTCCAGTTCTGAAGATCGTTGTCTTTTTATTCGCTTTGCCGACGATTCACTAGTGCTCAATTTAGCAAAGAACTTGTCCAATGTTGTCAATTTCTGTCTATCACTTAAGACTTTCCTGAAGTTACCTGCCCAAAACGCTATCCATGTTAGTGGCTTTCCAAGAATGTAAGAACACCAATGTTATGTACTCTCACAACCTACTGTACCCTTCTTGTATAGTGTAAATCAAATACATTATAAATAAGTAGCCAATCTAATTATCACTGAATGCATTTATATTTTGATTAACACTTTCGCCCGGGCATGACGCAGCATTGCGTCATCCGTTTACTGTCGGTAATGCCGGGGATGACGCAGCATTACGTCATCCACTTTAAATAATCGCCAAAAATCAGGTTTTTATCCGATTTTTTTTGGGACTGGTTTTAAAATGCGCGCCGATGTTTTCCCATTTTCTTTGTTGCGCCTCGTGGCCCGCAAGCGGCTCGGCACACACCGTCGGCCCATTGTTTTCACTCCACTGTTGTGATCGATGTCGCCTCCCCTCGCATCTCAAATGTGTGAACATTTCGGCTATTTTCTGTGGCTATATTTCTTACTGCGGCTTTAGAAACTATCTACGCTTACTCCACGATGGATAGTGATCATGAACAAGGCCTTTCCAGGAAGAAAATTGCGAAAGAAAGGCTTGAAAAGGGCGGGAATTGGGAGTGTAGCTGAAAGGCGTCTGAGCACTCACTTGCGGCTAACGCGTGGCCCGTCTTCAACTCATCGGCGGTTGGAGCGTAACCAGGTTTTTATTTTATATGCTAATGTTCCTCTAGAGAATTCTATTGCGAACCCATTGAGACCAAAATGAAAGACCTAGGACGACAATTGAGGTGACCAGAGTGAAAATAGTGAAATCATTTTATCGCGTTTGCGTGCTCCTGGGTAACTCGTTCGCACTCTCTGTTTGCTGCGGGTAATTAGCCGGGCTTTTGGAGTTTATATGCATTTAGTGCTGTAGAGAATTCTATTGCGAACACAATGATACCAAATTTAATCTCGTAGGACGAGAATTAAGGTGACAAAGTTGAAGAGAGTATACACTTTTCAGAATTTACGCGCGCTCCCGTGACACCCTGGGTCCCATATCGCACAGTTGAGGGGTGGCGCGCGGGGTACGCCAAAGTGTTAACTACAGTAATATTGGGTTGCCACTTTTCAACCATATTCTTTGTTTTGGCCCAATTGAACAGCATTTCCTTAATGTCAGCACTTGGAATGATGCTGAAATATGGAAAATGCCAACTAACACAGAAGCATTTTTTTTGTCATCAAAACATGACGAAGATAACATTTGATCAATATAGGGGCAGACAAATATAGAGGTTCCACTATATAACAGACAAATAACCATTTGGTGACACGGACGACAAAGAGATCCACACCCAAAAGGTCTTAAATGTCAAAAATATAACAAGAATTCAAAAAATAACAATTACTAATACAGCACATTAATTAATATCATAATCAAAATGCAAATACATATCTCTCAGGTGTACCATAAAAATTTAGCAAATATATATATATACACACTGTTCCCTATTCAAAATAAATATTGGCACATGAAAAAACAATGAACTAAATGGTGGTAGCTAAATACTGTACAGTATATATATGGACACGACAGTACTGTATACAGTATACCGTATATAGATATTAAAGTTCTCTGCTCTGCCATACTTTCCCAAATATGTTAACAGAGATCTTCCCATACATTATATTTATGCAATATTTCATGTTACAAATTAACATGTTACAGTTCATACCATATGACACGAAACATCTTGTTTTATAATACATCAAGGTGGAACACAGAATACATCAAGGTGGAACACAGAATGCACCACAGCCCGGTTGGTCCGGCACGTTTTTTAGAAAACAGCACAAAGGTGGAATACAGAATGTATCAAGGTAGAACACAATGCATCAAGGTGGAACACAGAATACATCAAGGTGGAACACAGAATGTATCAAGGTGGAACACAGAATGCATCAAGGTGGAACACAGAATGTATCAAGGTGGAACACAGAATGTATCAAGGTGGAACACAGAATGTATCAAGGTGGAACACAGAATGCACCAAGGTGGAACACAGAATGCACCAAGGTGGAACACAGAATGCATCAAGGTGGAACACAGAATGCATCAAGGTGGAACACAGAATGTATCAAGGTGGAACACAGAATGCACCAAGGTGGAACACAGAATGCACCAAGGTGGAACACAGAATGCATCAAGGTGGAACACAGTGCATCAAGGTGGAACATAGAATGCACCAAGGTGGAATACAGAATGCACCAAGGTGGAACACAGAATGCACCAAGGGAAGACACACAACACATCAAGGTGAAACACAGAATGAATGAAGGTGAAATAAGGAATTCGTCGAAGTGGAACATAAGAATACATAAAGGTGGAATAGATTTTTTTCTTTACACGTATACAAAAGTTCTTACATTCTTGTAAAGCCACTAGCACGCATAGCATTTCGCGCCAGTCCTTAATCCTAAATTTCCCCGGAATACGACCCGCCAAATCATTTAACAACTAGGTCCCCATTTGTGGAACAGAGAATTCATCACGGTGGAACAGAGAATTCATCAAGATGGAACAGAGAATTCATCAAGTTGGAACAAAAAATTTATCAAGGTGGAACATATACTGCATCAAGGTGGAACACAAAATGCATCAAGTTGAAACACCATGATACTGTATTTTGAAATAAAAAGAAAACCCATCAAGTTGTACCAGAGAATGCAAAAAGTTACAATGCAAAATATACAGAGTTACAACACAGAATGTAGCCAGTTTGAAAGCAGCACACATTAAGTTGCAACACTTACTTAGATGAGAAGCCCCTGCATGATGCCTCAAGGCACAACCACTCATTATAGCTATTCACAAAATACATATGGGGGAAGGGGGGGGGGGAGTTACATCCTGGGGGAGGGTGGGGAGGACCTCGATATTAGCCTGGAGGCCTGATCGACGACCGAGCCATGGGGATGCTAGGCCCCGGAAAACTCCAAAGTAAGGTACCATGTATTTATATATATATACACTGGCTGCCTGTCACTTGATGCAATGAATTATTATATTACACTATAAAGCTCACAAGCAAAATATGAATCTCTTAATATAAATCTTGTGGCAAAATATACTTTTGCAAAGTACCAAGTACAGGTAATGCTTTTTCACAAAATGCATCAGTTTGTCGAGAATCCGTGCACTGTCTGAAACCGTTCTCATGAAGTGTACAATGTTATAAAAATACAAATACAGTAAAAGTATATCCAATTACTGCACTAGGAAACATCATATAAAATATACCATCTTGTGAAACAACCAAATATGACACCACACCATGTACTTTTGTTGAGAAAATATAATAAGCCGTGTCGTGTCAGAGTAAAATGTCGCGTCAAAGAGTAAAATGTCGCGTCAAAAAGTAAAGCATGACATATAAATTAAGTGAAATATTTCCAGGTACGAATTTTACCCAAGTCACTACTCTAAGTACAGTACCCCTATATTGCCTATGGATTACCTGTGGCTAGTTTTTCAGAGTTCTTATACTGTACTCCTGTAGCCCCCAACTGCCAGACCCACATATATGTACTAATAATCTGGCACTTCCTACAGGAACATATTAAAGTATTACTACCTGTAAATAATCATCACAAATGTGTCATATACAGTACATACATGACACATGTGGAGTGTGCTGTACTGCCCCAATTTCATGTTATATGATGTCCACAATGCCACACGTGACAGGGGCCAGAGACTGTCATGCAGTCTATGTTATGCAGATGTCACAAGCCTTAAAACCAAACATTTCTAGAGGCAAAGTTTCAGATATCACAGCATATGAAATGTAATACACACACCGAGTACCATAGCAGTACCCTCTTTCAGTTGTGTGAACCAGCTTGGATTATTGATTTAGAATGCAGGCTTGAGTTTAAGTGGATTGAAAACTTTGCTTGTGGACATTGGCTAGGTGATTTCTCACATTCGTAGGCCCATCGGCATGTCTAGCTACCATGCTAGTCCTCTTGTTATGTTATAGTGTTCATCCTAACTATTCTTGACTCTGGGTCAGTGGTGTGTGAACATTCACGGATTAGTGTTGAAGGGAGACAAAATTTGGGTTAGTGGTGTGGGCCTGGGGTCATCCAAGGTCTCCTCCGCCACATCCACCTCCTGCTTGATGCCCACTTCATGGCTGCCACCATCTTCCTTCACCTGCTGCCCATAGACGAACATGCTGACAGCTATCACTTGAGTGGATGGTGACCAACCACTTCCTTTGGCCTGTCTGCCAGCTGTGACTTCCTTTATACCATCCTCGTGTCTGTCAGCTGAATCATCCCGTTGAGAAGAGCTGGTACGTTCACATTCTAAAGGCAAACAATCTCCTGAATCGATGTGATCCTCATTTGGCAAAGATTCACTGGATGTAACTACTTTTTGTAGAGGTAAAGAATCACCTGAAACATCAGGCAGCTCTGTGATCAGGGATAAAAGTTTCCCTGAAACTACAGGTTCCTCTGAAGTCACATATTCACTTGATAATACAGGTATCTCTGAAAATAAAGGGTTCCTTGGAGCTGCATTATTAGAAAAATATGAACATCTACTCCCATCTTCCTCCGTATGTTGAGCAGACAAATATCCGCTCTCACATTCATCCATGTTAAAACAGCATTTATGACTGGATAGATGTTCACTTACAAACGAGCACTGTTTAGCCACCTTTAACTTGGAGTTTACAGTTCCTAAATAGCCAACAGAGTCCCCTGCTGTTTTGGTATATTTTGCCACTTCCGTCTTTTTTGCACACTGATACTCTTCAGTTTTGGAAGCATTTTTAAAATGCTTGATATTTGATATAGTGTCCATTACTGCATGTTTTACTAATTCTTCTTTATTAGTTAGAACCTGCTCCTGTCCTGAGACAGTATCCCCAAGAATTACTGGCTCCTCATGCGCACATTGACCAACTGGTTCTTCATGCAAACATTGCTTAACTGGGTCCTCTGACTGCTGTCCTGCTTGTTCTCTATGCAAACGTTGCTCAAGTGGATCCTCAGAGTGCTGTCCCACTGGTTCTCCATGTATACATTGCCCAACTAGTTCCTCACACTGCTGCCCCATTGGTTCCATATGCAAATGTTGTCCAATTGTGGCATCTTTGGTCACACATTTGAAACAACTTTTATCATCCAATACAGTTTTAAGTATTTTCCTTCTCTTTTTTGCCAAAGGATTAAATCTTACTGCCCCATTCACATTTACAACATCCAATCTTGTTAATGAAGTTAAGTACTTTCCAGCCTTCCTTGAACATGCTAAGTCTGGTCTCTTAATGTTTTCAATTTTATTTTCATTTATTTCTGGCATTAGCTCAGTCATGTGTTTCCCGTCATGCATGTCGTGGGCAGATTCCACAGCAACAGCAGTGACATATTTACTTTCAGAACAGTTTTTCTTGTCAATGTTGTCTACAGTGAGTGGAACACTGGATGTGGAGGTGTCACTGTGAACCTTCATATGGCGAGTGAGGCTGCCCTTCTCTGAAAACTTTCTATTGCACTTTATACATTCATAGGGTTTCTCTCCGACGTGAATGAAGATATGGTGTCGCAGGTGAGATTTTTTTATACATCTTTTGTGGCAGAACTCGCACTCAAGGCTTCTCTGCTTTTTTGCTTCATTTGAGCAGTTGCGTGATAAACTCTGATTGAATCCATATTCTTTCACCAAGTGATTATAGGCACTTTTCTTAAGCTGTTGATGTTGACCATTATGTATTATCAAGTGAGCTCTTAGATGGGAACTACATGAAAACTTCTTATCACATGTTTGACAGTCATATTCTTTGTTACTAACATGAACAGTCTTATGTCGATTCAAGTGACACCTTTGCGAAAACCTTTTATTACACTCTTTACAGACATAGGGTTTTTCTCCTGTGTGAAGTCTTTTATGTGTGGTAAGATGAACACGCTGTGCAAACGTCTTAGAGCATATATCACATTCAAATGATTTTTCTTTGGTGTGAATTTTCTTATGCAATGAATAATTTGATCTTTGGCGAAACCTCTTATGACAGATCTCACATTCATAAGGTTTTTCACCTGTGTGCAATCTCAAATGATGCAACAGAGTACTCTTATGAGTAAATGCAGAACTGCACTGTGTACATGCAAATGGCTTCTCGCCAGTATGTAGCCTCATGTGGCACACGATGCTACTTTTCTTATTAAAGGCTTTGTCACACTGTGAACATTTGAACAATTTATTATGGTCCTGAGCCCCTCTATCCATTTTGAAAATGTTCTTCTTGGTAAAACCTTCGTACAATCTCCGATCATTTGGCAACTCAGGGCTACACACATCCGTGAAAAACCTTTAATAAAAATATTACTGTACTAACTCTGAACCCATAGTCAATAAAGGCAAAATGAGTTATAGGCACCACCTTATGTGGATTTGTAGAGGTATTTTTGTTCTAAGATCAGATACTCAGAACTTGTATTATATTATTTACATACCAGAAGAATTCTACATATACTGTAGTACCCACCTAAACATGTCATTCCGAGTCACCATTCCTGTACTGTTCACCTCCCTCAGGGTGCAGAGTGTAATGCACTGCTCTCGTTACACCACTCAGTCCGCCGTGATTCAACGCTCATCTCATTAACGTTGTCATGAGTCATTGCTCCTTCACTGCTCACATCTCACTGAAGTTATCATTCACTGCAACTTCACTTTTCACCTCAGTAAACATCTCACCATTCCCTGCATCTTTAGTCCTCCAGGGTCAGCTCTTGATTCAGTGCACTGGCCACCAATACCTCCTGAGCATGGCAATTCAGTGCTGCATTCCTGTAAGAAGAAGGAATATTAAGTAGCAATGGCCTAGAAACTCAAAATGCAAAGGCTCAGTAAGAAGCATCACAACCACTGCACTAGCATTACCAAACTTGCACTCATTATTCCTAAATCAACAAAAATTAGACATGGGGGTTGTATGAATAATTAAAACTATAATGTTGCTTTCCTACCCATTCCAGTGATACCCTGGTATTCCAATTTAATCCGTTCCCAGAGACAGGTTGTAAGCCGAAAATTCGCAATCCAAAATGAATTTTCTCGTAAGAAAAATGTAAATTGAATTATTTATTAAATTCATTCTACAGAATTTAATTTAATTTAATTTTTTATAAAAATTTAATTTAAATTCAGAATTAAATCCATTCTACATTCCCCAGAATATTAATTCAAAATACATTTCATATATAATACACACAAATATTTTATACTATAGTATGTACAAGTTATAGCTTACCTTTATTTATGACTCTTGTTAGTGTATGGAAGATGGTGAGGAGAGGGAGAAAAGGAGAGGTGTTAGTGTTTGGAAGGGGAGTCCTCTTCCATTATAACATCAGGCAGTGATGACTTCTCTGGGGTACTCTCTCCCTCATATGTTTTACAGGCATACCACTAGGACCTGGTCGTGGCTCACTGCTTGCTTGTCATACTAAGAATCTATCTAAAGATGCTTGCTTTTCCCTACCTTTTAATGCTTGTCTGTATTGAGACATCACATTGTCATTAAAAAGGTCAATGCAACAGCCTGCTACAGCTTTATCTGGGTGGGGATTTTTTTTCAACAAAACTTTGCAGTTCTTCCCATACTTCACCATTTTCTTAATGAGGAAGGGACATCCTATACTGCCTCTACTCACAACTATTTTCTTAAGTTGAACCTTACCATTGATTTTCTTGGGACCCATGGTGTGATATATAATAATTACTTGTTTGTTCAAAAACCAAAAAAGTAGAACAATGAAATACTATACAAAGAACTCACGTGCGATCGTCACTAAGCGAGAGGCACTGGTAAACTGAAGTGCAGTCGCCCGTGCCACCAGGCACCACACACTCGGTCGACTCATATGTGTATCAACAAAGTCACAAGGTAAGGCAAAGTTCATAACCCGATATGCATTTTCCGAAGAAATCGAGTTCGTAACCCGAAAAATTCGTAAAGAGGGACGTTCACTACCCGAGGTTCAATTATACTAATACTGTTCTACAGGCATACTTGACTGTCATGTTTTCAACATAACTTGAAAACAAGAAAATCAAAAATAATTTTAAAATTGAATATTGAAAACTTCAGATTTTCAAATCGGATTAAAAAATATAAACTACTGTATCACCAATTATTCATTTGGTGTTACTATGCTTTCAGAATAGCATATGATCTTCATTTTCATCAAATTAAAATATAGGTTTTCAATATAGTTTACTGTAAAAAAAATCATCATTATAGCATTTAAACTATGCAGCAAATTTAGAAAAAAAAATCATACAGCAACTCCAAACGTTTAGGGTTTATGAAAAATCCATTCTTAAGAGATTGTAAAACAGATAGCCGAGCACACAATATGTCAAAATGATAAGAATCGGTCAGAAACTGGAATTTTAGAAGCCACTCAAAGTTGCAACTCTAGTTTTAGAGATAATTGAAGTTGAAGTTATCGACAATGAATAAAGGTACAGTAGTTCTAATTTGTTAATTTACTTGTATGTTTTAATAAACATTGCTTGGCATTCGTACTCGAATATGTGAAAATTTTAGGTCAATACGAGTCAAAATGAAGTCAAGAAAAATAACCCCCAAAAAAAACAAAATATTGGGATAATTATATTAATTATAATGATTTAGGAGATATATTTAGGGTACACTTTATATAAGAGATAAGGCCCTAATCTGGTCCCTGATCATCAAAACAACCTAAAGAGACGAAGAAAATAGTTTGAAGGCGATGAGTCACAATAACGTGGCTGAAGTATGTTGACCAGACCACACACTAGAAATTGAAGGGACGACGACGTTTCGGTCCGTCCTGGACCATTCTCAAGTCGATTGTGACTTGAGAATCGACTTGAATCACAATCGACTTGAGAATGGTCCAGGACGGACCGAAACGTCGTCGTCCCTTCAATTTCTAGTGTGTGGTCTGGTCAAAAATAGTTTGAAATCTCCGAAAAAAACAGCCAAAAACAATTCAAAGTCCCAAGTTTTGTGAGTTGTGACTGATTTATTTGTAGACCAATTTCATTCTATCTTGACATAGTTAGGGATGGGTATGCACTCTCCACGATGTAAACATTACAACAAAATCATAAATAATAAACACAGCAAAAAAACTAAAATCTTAAAAAAAAAAAAAAAATTCCTCCAAAAAATATTTTTTGGACATTGATGAAAGTAACAGATATTAACATTGGGCAAAGTATTTATATGATAAATTATAAATAGAGCATAATAACATACATATTCCTTATTACTTGCATTATTATATATTACTCAGCAATGCCAAAAAGGTATCAGCTGCATAATATCCACTTTGTGGACACTTCTTACTACTACAGTATTCTCTTTTGAGCGTCGGACAGGTGCTTGCATCTCTTTATTACTGCATTATCCCACAGTTCCAGTTAATAGAAGCTGTTCTCCTTTTCAATAAAACGTTCTTCTTTTTAAAAAATTCGTCTAAAATCAATTTGTGAAAATATTTTGATGAAAGTTTCACGACCCTGAAGCCAATAAGTTGGAGATTTGTTTAACATTCTTAAGTAATTTTTTACATAATTCAAATATTTTTCGCTTCTTGGCCCCTAAGGCTTGTTAACCCTTGTTTAAAGGTTAATGTCTATACAGTATTTCAATGCACTTTCCCTTTCTAGAACTCTTGCATACAATCTCTTGTGGGGAATTTCTAACATTGGCCTACTTAAGGTTAAGTAAAGAAGTCATGAGAGTGTTAAGCCAATCCCTAGAAACACAAACCGAAACTGTCTCTATTTTCCACTTGTTACAACTTGTAATAAAGTTGTTACATCTTGGCTTAACCTGTTTATGACGTATTAGAACGTTGTTACAACTTGCTATATTGGTTGTTATGACTGGTTAGAAGATGTTAAAACTTGTTTGAACGTTGTACCAACGACGTAGTTTCGGTGTGTGTTTGGCGGGATATGACAATTCTGATGGTGCAGTCGTACACAAAGAAAGCCTGCTACTGTACAGTATATTGTAAATAAACATCCACAAACCACCTCTGTATTTTATAGCTTACAGCAAATACCTTCTTGTATTGTATGCCTATATCATGGATGGATTTCTGGCCAATCTGCTAGACGCTTATCATGTAATTAAACAAACAAATCTCATGGCCTATAAGACTGGAGGGTTTACTCGGCACCAATCCTGAACCGTTTTCCCCCTGTTCAATTACAAGAGTTTTTACATTCTTGTAAAGCCACTAGTACGCGTAGCGTTTCGGGCAGGTCCTTAACCCTAATTTCCCTGGAATACGACCCCGCTGAATCGTTTAACAACCAGGTACCCATTCACTGCTGGGTGAACAGAGGCTACAGTTAAGGATTGGCGCCCAGTCAATCCTCCCCGGCCAGGATTCGAACCCAAGGCAAGGCGCTTGCGAAACGCCAGGCGAGTATCTTACCACTGCGCCACGGGGACTGCAATGAATTGACAGTCATTGGGTACCCAGTTGTAAACCAATTGGTGGGTCATGTTCTGGGGAAAGCTAGTAGGGGTAAGGCTTCAGATGAGCTGTTGGAAGTTCTAACCTGCTAACAAGTGGGTAGATTACATGCCAATCTGCAGGAAGCGAGACCTTCGCTCTACCGTCCAGTCCAAGTTTTGATGAGGCGAAAGAGAACTTTGGATGAGTATCAGAAATTGCTTCAGTTGAGTGTGTAAAATGGTACAGTTGAGAGTGCTTCAGTTGAGCATCTGAGAATTTTGTCAGTATTGTACATGCAATTGAAAGAAGTAATACTGGTCAACAGCTGCCCACCATTAAACAACTCTTCATTTTGTTCACCTTTCTATAGTTGTTCACCTCACTGTTCATCTCTCATTGCACATCTCTCTCTCTTACTGTTCAGCTCTCTCTTACTGCTCATCTCTCTCACTGCTCAACTATCTACTCATCTCTCTCACTGCTCATCTTTTTTTTTAAACTAAGACTAGGATTCATTTGGGCTGTCAACTGAAGTACCTAATGAGACTGCAAGCAAGAGTTGTTATCCTATGTCAGCTCATCTGAAGGCTCTCCCTCGAGTCCTTTCTTTCATGAGATTATTATTTGAATCATTAGGAATAAACTTTATTTCAATCTAAGTAACAATCATATAAGGAACAGGATGAGCCAGTAGCCAACTGCGAGCCAGAGTCTTCATTTGACTTGTTGACCTGATTTCTCATGTGTCAACCTGTTGAACGAAAAAGTTCCAGATGCGAGTCAGCCTAGGAGTGAAAGATCACTGATGGGGTGGTGATGTTGAGAAAGGCAGTTCCAGCATGAGGTTGATGATGGCTGAGAGCCTTGTGTCATCGATACCAGCTACTGGTTGTCCACAAACTCACAGTCCCTGTGGTGCACTGGTAACAACACACTTGCCCGGCACTTCGCAGGCGATTTGGCCTGGGTTAATTTCCTGGCTAATTTCCTACGATTGACTTGGCACCAAACCTTAACTTGTGCCTCTGCTCACCCAGCAGTGATTGGGTACCTGGCTGTTAAACGATTAGTGGGTTGTATTTCAGGGAAACTAGTGAGCAAGGCTTACCATGAGCTAAGGGAAGGAATAGCTGCCTGCAGCTCTTAGCCTGCTACCAGGAGCCAGCCGTATTCTGTTCCTGTACCCACCTGTGTAAAAGAATAAATCTTTGGGTATGTTGGCCTTGTACAAAACACTAAGTCCACCAACATCATGATGGCGTTGGAGGCTCTGGTGTTCAGACCAATCTCACTAGACTCGGGCAAGACTAAAGATGTGGCATCTTGCAGAGTTCTCCACTTTGTCTAAAAAAAATCTGGTGAATGATGGAAGGCAGGTAATCCAGGAGAGAGGTGCATACTCAAGATGGGAGTGAACTTGTGCTGCATGTGAAATTTTGCAGTCCTTCCTTATCTCTCACTGTTCATTTCTCTCTCTCTCTCTCACTACTCATCTATTCCTCTCACTGCTCAACTCTCACTCACAACTTATCTCTCTTTCTCTCTCTCTCTCTCTCTCTCTCTTTTCTCTCTACTCATTTCTTTTGCTCCCTGCTCACACTCTCACTACATACCTCTATGTCTCTCTGCTCATTTCTCTCGTTTTCACTGCTTATCTATTCCACTCCTTGCTAAACTCTCACTTACTACTGTACTAATCTCTGTCTCTATTCATCTCATTTGCTCACTGATCACCTTATTTGCTCACTGCTCATTTCATCTGCTCATCTCATCTCTCTCATTGCCCATATATTTATATGTCACTACTCATATATCTCTCTCCCTGTTCATATATCTCTCACTGCCCATCTCTCTTACTGCTCACATCTCTCTCTCACTACTAATATCTCTCTCTCTCACTGATCATCTCTCTCTCACTGCTCATATCTCTCTCTCTCACTGCTCATATCTTTCTCTCTCACTGCTCATATCTCTCTCTCACTGCTCACATCTCTTTCTCTCACTGCTCACATCTCTTTCTCTCACTGCTCACATCTCTCTCACTGCTCACATCTCTCACTGCTCACATCTCTCTCTCTCTCACTGCTCACATCTCTCTCTCTCTCTCACTGCTCACATCTCTCTCTCTCTCTCACTGCTCACATATCTCTCTCTCTCTCTCTCTCTCTGCTCATTCTCTTTCTTTCTCTGCTCATTCTCTCTCTCTTTCTCTCTCTCTCTCTCTCTCTCTCTCTCTCTCTCACTGCTCATTCTCTCTCTCTCACTGCTCATTCTCTCTCTCTCACTACTCATTCTCTCTCTCTCTCTCACTGCTCATTCTCTCTCTCTCTCTCACTGCTCATTCTCTCTCTCTCTCTCACTGCTCATTCTCTCTCTCTCTCTCACTGCTCATTCTCTCTCTCTCTCTCACTGGTCATATCTTTCTCTGGTCATCTCTCTCAATTATCATATCTCACTGCTCATATCTCTCTCTCACTGGTCATATCTCTCTCTCTCTCTCACTGGTCATATATCTCTCTCTCTCACTGCTCATTCTCTCTCTCTCTCTCACTGCTCATTCTCTCTCTCTCTCTCACTGGTCATCTCTCTCAATGATCATCTCTCTCTCACTGCTCATATCTCTCTCTCTCTCACTGCTCATATCTCTCTCACTGGTCATATCTCTCTCTCACTGCTCATATCTCTCTCTCTTACTAGTCATCTCTCTCTCTCTCTCTCTCTCTCTCTCTCTCTCTCTCTGGTCATATATCTCTCAGTGCTCATCTCTCTTTCTCACTGCTCATCTCTCTCTTTCACTCCTCATATGCATCTCTCACCGCTCGTAATGGCTTGGCGTTTTCTCCTCATAGTGCCCTTCCCTTCTCACTGCTCGCTACATCTCACTGCTCATCTCTCTCACTCACTGCTCATCTCTCACAACTCATTTCACCTCATCATGACATCTCAGATTTGTTTTTGCGAGTGAGCGGCGGGTCGGGCTCACCTCTCTCTCTCTCTCATTTTTATGTAACACGTGGGCCAGCCTGCCCTCCTGCCTCACCACCCACCCTCCTCATGGCCTCACGAGTCCTCCTCACCGTGAGGAGCGGCCAGCGGGTGACACGAGCCGGGAAAATACGGGAATAACGTGGAGGTCTACCTGGGGTGAGGGCGGCGTCGCGTCTGGCCCTGAGCTGCCCTATGGCCGCTCTGAGGGCGAGGTGGGAGAGAAACCAGCCTCTATATTTATATATATAACTATTGTTTTATCTTATTTATCGCCGTTTGTGGCCTTTCATTGGCGGCTTTATTGGTATATTAGATTTTTTTTAAGTCTTTATTGGCTTCAATCGTGGCTTTGTTGTTTGCTGGGGGAGGGAATTGGTCTCGGGGTCAGTTTAACGGGGTTGGTGTTTCTCGGGGAAAAAAATAGTTTGATCAATTGTATATTTGGTGTAAAACATTGCGGGATTTGGTATTTAAGCCTAACTGAAGCTTATACCCGTCGATTATTTCCTTGTCTTGGATTTAACTAGGTAGTTTGGGTTGTTTGTGGGTGTAAAAGGGGAGTAATGGCCTCAAGTATTGTGCTACACAGTATATCTCTGTAGCACATAGTGGCGGCGTGCGCACCACGCTCACACTTTCCATATTGGTCTGAATCTTTTATTTTACTTTCGGACACTATTATAGCGGCGGCTCTAGGAATTTTATTTCTGTTGACTAAATTGCTTTAGTAGTGAAATTTTTAATGCATAAAAGAGCTATGAGTACAATTCATTTTTATTCTGATATGAGGCCAATTAAAGTAATTATAAGAAGAAAGCGCTAATTATATAAAGAATTTGTCTTTAATTATTGTTCATTTTATTCATATGATTAGAATTGGCTTTTACTGTAGTTTTATGGTTAAAAAAGTATATTAATAAACACTATACTTACTAATTTAGCGCATGGTATATATAAAATCTGGCAATAAACCTAAATCGGTAATTAAAACTGTGTTAAAATTGTAATCGTGACAAACGTGGCAACTACATCTTGACGGAGTATTCACAACTGGCTGAAAAAGTATCAAATAGACTAGCAGAGCTTTAAATACATCATATTAATAATAATATATTATTTCTAAGATATAGAAATACATATAGAGGTTACGAAGTATAGTTAACTATACAGAGTATAGAGGTGACGTAGTAAGTTCAGTATTTGTAAATATTATGAAACCACTACTGCCAAGCAGCGTTTTGGGGGGTAATTAAATATTATCGAGAATCACGATGTTTCACTTTTGACAAATATTCAGAGACTGTAATCAGCAACACAATCCTTTGTTAGTGCTGGCTACGTGTTATAATACCTTAATATATCTCGTATAATCCGGCTTTAGTTGTAGTACTAGTAGTGTCTGGCAGGTTACGATACAACAGCTCCAGGTACCTCAAGCCACTTGATCTAAAACCATTAATAACTAGGTATTCGCTAAAATAGTTTTTAAGAATATGTCCTAACTACTTTTCTGTTTACATTTAATGTGCTCATCACTGGGAAATTAATTACCTGGAGTTACCCGCCATGAACAACGATATAACAGCGTTATTCTGGCAACACCATCACACGTGGTTTCCGGGTGCGTATTTCTGGAAGATGCGCAGCGCTTTCTTGGGAGTTGTTTGGGTACAGGCACCTTGTGTACTCACCTAGTTGTGCTTGCGGGGAGTTGAGCTTCGGCTCTTTTGACCCGCCTCTGAAGTCAGTACAAAACTTAACTAGAATTTTTTTTTTAATTACCGGGCTTAGGGTTGAATAGGGTAGCGGCACCTTACTTACTAAAGCAATGTACTTACTAATCTCTCTCATCTCTTTTTTTTCTTGCAATGTATCTGTTATCATTTTATTAATTCTGCTAGAATTTACCTACTTAAAATTATCTGTTAGATTAAGGACCTGCCCGAAACGCTGCGCGTACTAGTGGCTTTACAAGATTGTTAATACTATGCTATGTATTCTCACAAACCCAATGTACCTAGTATATAAATAAATAAATAAATAAATAAATAAATAAATGTGCCGCTACCCTATTCAACACGAAGGATGACAAAGTGTGAATAAAAAAAAACTGCCTAAGTTCATCTAATATCCGCATCTCACAGGATGGGGATACATGGGGGTGGGAGGGACAACTGACAAGCCGCCGGCTTCTGTCCTCATCGAGGTCACTAGAATGTTAGTGACCCTCAGGTAAATTCTGGTAAATATATGGGATGAGAGAACACGAGATGACCTACTAGCCTGCACTAGCACACACTGGGTAGAACACAAGCCTATTGGTAGAGCCTATTGGGTATTGAGCCCAGTAGGCTCAGGAATCGGTACACCGGTTAATTGACAGTTGAAAGGTGGGACCAAAGAACCGAAGCTCAACCCCCAGCAAGCACAACTAGTCAAGTACAAGAATATCTTCCAGTGAGCGGGGTACCGCAAGGTTCCATTTTGGGGACCTACCCATTTTGTCATACATCAATGCCACAGACGAGAATATTACAAACCACATCTACACAATTTGCAGAGGACACTCAAATGTATGGTCAAGTGGAAAGTAAAAATGATATTGAGGCTTTACAAAGAGATAAAGCCTCAAAGCCTAGCCAAAGATAAAGCCTCAGAGTATGTTCTAGCTCTATCAATAAATCCATCAATGTTTTGTATCTCACCTTGTATGTATGTACTTTACCTGAATAAATATTTGATTTGATTTGATTTAGATCTACATGAGCTCACCAGATGGGTCGGAAAACTGGCAAAAAGTTTTTAATATAGAAAAATGCAATAAATGGGTATTAGTAAGCAATCCACGCCACACCCTAATACATTCTCAGTTCAGTTACGATTTTAATAGTCTGTTTAGAGGGATGCTGACCTAAATTACCTGGGGGCCACTAACACTATAGTGGTCTCGAAGAAGACAGGAAGACGGCGGCTTGTCGAAGGACCCCCTCCCATTTGTCTTCGATAATCTTTTCCAGTTGGACCTATTAATGAAGAAATCTTGGAAGCTGTTAATGCAGAGGTTAGGGGGTACCTTAGCTGAAGCCAAAATTATCAATTACAACTTGTGCACAGTAAGGTGAAGCAACTTGTGCACAGTAAGGTGAGGCAACTTGTGCTCAGTAAGGTGAGGCAACTTGTGCACAGTAAGGTGAGGTAACTTGTGCACAGTAAGGTGAGGCAACTTGTGCACAGTAAGGTGAGGTAACTTGTGCTCAGTAAGGTGAGGCAACTTGTGCACAGTAAGGTGAAGCAACTTGTGCACAGTAAGGTGAGGCAACTTGTGCTCAGTAAGGTGAGGCAACTTGTGCACAGTAAGGTGAGGCAACTTGTGCACAGTAAGGTGAGGCAACTTGTGCACAGTAAGGTGAGGCAACTTGTGCACAGTAAGGTGAGGCAACTTGTGCTCAGTAAGGTGAGACAACTTGTGCACAGTAAGGTGAGGTAACTTGTGCTCAGTAAGGTGAGGCAACTTGTGCACAGTAAGGTGAGGCAACTTGTGCACAGTAAGGTGAGGCAACTTGTGCTCAGTAAGGTGAGGCAACTTGTGCACAGTAAGGTGAGGCAACTTGCGCACAGTAAGGTGAGGCAACTTGTGCACAGTAAGGTAAAGCAACTTGTGCTCAGTAAGGTGAGGTAACTTGTGCACAGTAAGGTGAGGTAACTTGTGCACAGTAAGGTGAGGTAACTTGTGCACAGTAAGGTGAGGTAACTTGTGCACAGTAAGGTGAAGCAACTTGTACTCAGTAAGGTGAGGTAACTTGTGCACAGTAAGGTGAGGCAACTTGTGCTAAGGTGAGGTAACTTGTGCTCAGTAAGGTAAGGCAACTTGTGCACAGTAAGGTGAGGCAACTTGTGCTCAGTAAGGTGAGGTAACTTATGCACAGTAAGGTGAGGTAACTTGTGCTCAGTAAGGTGAGGCAACTTGTGCACAGTAAGGTGAGGCAACTTGTGCTCAGTAAGGTGAGGCAACTTGTGCACAGTAAGGTGAGGCAACTTGTGCTCAGTAAGGTGAGGTAACTTATGCACAGTAAGGTGAGGTAACTTGTGCTCAGTAAGGTGAGGCAACTTGTGCACAGTAAGGTGAGGCAACTTGTGCACAGTAAGGTGAGGTAACTTGTGCACAGTAAGGTGAGGTAACTTGTGCACAGTAAGGTGAGGTAACTTGTGCACAGTAAGGTGAAGCAACTTGTACTCAGTAAGGTGAGGTAACTTGTGCACAGTAAGGTGAGGCAACTTGTGCTAAGGTGAGGTAACTTGTGCTCAGTAAGGTGAGGCAACTTGTGCTCAGTAAGGTGAGGCAACTTGTGCACAGTAAGGTAACTTGTGCTCAGTAAGGTGAGGCAACTTGTGCACAGTAAGGTGAGGCAACTTGTGCACAGTAAGGTGAGGCAACTTGTGCTCAGTAAGGTGAGGCAACTTGTGCACAGTAAGGTGAGGCAACTTGTGCACAGTAAGGTGAGGCAACTTATGCTCAGTAAGGTGAGGCAACTTGTGCACAGTAAGGTGAGGCAACTTATGCTCAGTAAGGTGAGGCAACTTGTGCTCAGTAAGGTGAGGCAACTTGTGCACAGTAAGGTAACTTGTGCTCAGTAAGGTGAGGCAACTTGTGCTCAGTAAGGTGATGGTATGTTTTTATGTTATTTGAAAAAGTTTAGTTTTATCTTTGATAAGAGAATATACAATATATGCAGTCAAAAAAGCCTTTTGCAGCATTCAAAGGAAGAAAATTCTACTGAGATTACAAATTATTGTTCGTAACTAGGCTGCTGCAAAAGGTTTTTTGACAGCATATATTATGTATTCTCCTATCAAAGATATAACTAAACTTTTTCAAATAATAAAAACATGCCCTCACCTTACTGAACACAAGATGCTCAGGGGCCTGGTGGCTGAGTGGACAGTGCTCAGGATTAGTAGTCCTAAGGTCCGGGATTGATCCCTGATCATGGCAGAAAATAAATGGCAGTTTCTTTCACCCTGATGCTCCTGTTACCTAGCAGTAAATAGGTACCTGTGAGTTAGACAGTTGTCATGGGTTCCTTCCTGGAGGGGGGTAGGATAATAATAATAATAAATTATTTATTGACAGTTGAGGCGGGTTGAAAGCCAGAGCTCAACCCCTGCAAGCACAACTAGGTGAATACAAGGTAGTAACTAAGTAACTGTAACCTATCCACCACTGTCCATTGGATGGGGGGGGGGCGATGTGTAGGATAAACATATCAATTGTGACACTAGCTCTCCACATATGCCAGTTGCTTAAATTAATTTAGAAATTGTACTTGTGGTCGGTCTCGAGCCCATTGATGATGTGACGATGTGCATTGAATTTTGTAACTAGCTCTTCAAGATTGTAACTTGCTTAGCTAAATGAATTGTGGGGTTCAGTCCCTGAGCACATTATGTGCCTCTGTAACCCTTTCCACTACCACTCACAGAATGGGTATGGGGGTGCTTAATAAATGAACTAAACTAAACTTTGGAAAAAAGAAAAAAATAAGGTCTCAAATTGTAACATGCAAAATATAGAAGTTATGTTTTTATTCCTATTACAGTACTATCCCCTTTATTATACCTTACCTTTCGTACCTTTTGCCTTGCTTTTTCTTCCTCTAAGGTTTTCTTCTCCTCACCTCTCTCTTGCCTATTTATTGCCTTCACCGCCTTCCATCGTCGTCACCATCTGGTCACCACTTGGTCCGGGAGACATCTCCCGTCACGCAGGGTGCAGTCGCGCCTCCACAGATCTCCAGTATCAGCTCTTGATACTGGTAATGGCTCAAAAGGGCCACCACTTACGGGCTATTCATGCCCGTGCCACCTTTTGGGTGGCTTAATCTTCATCAATCAATCTTCCATCGTGTCACAGTCGACTTGGAGAATGGTCAAGGACGGACCGAAACATCGTCGTCCCTTCACTTTCTAGTGTGTGGTTTGGTCAACATGCAAAATTACTTAAGGTTTGTAATTTTAGAATAGAGGTGCATTTCGTGTATGTATTTAATCTTTTACTCAGTCAGACCCCATGGAGAAGGCTGTGTTTGGGTCTAATATGTCCAACCCTCTTGTATTGCTCACCCAGCTGCTGCGGACCATTGACCATACCAGAATGCATTTTTTATGAAATTGGACAAGCCATATAAAATGGTAGGTTGCTTGGGTTTGTATATTTCTGGTTATGCAAAACATCTTTTTTTATTGACAAAGCAAGACAGCATCCAAACATTCCACTCTGAAGTGTTACAAAGTACAGTATCCTTAGTTTTACTCCTTTTAGAGGAAAATAATGTTCATGGCATATGCTCACCCATAACAGTATTAATGTAAATAATTTCAGAATTGTTTGTCTTCAAAACTGAAATATCAGGGTTTCTGGAGCATCAAAAAGAATAGTGGTAAAAGCCAAATTTAGCAAATTTAGTAATTACAATCTCACGAAAAGAAAAACAGATGCAGAAGATATTCTGGGGAACGGATGTAAAACTTTTCTTTGGTAGTATTTCCAGTGGGGAATCTACAGTATATAGAAAAGCAACGAATAAACTGTATGACTTTAAAAAGCAAAAACAGACACTTGGACATCAAAAAGGTAATGCTAAACAAGGCCAAGGGAGGGAAGGGAATTATCAGGAGAAAGCACCAAGCCATTATGACTATATAACACTGGAAATGGGTCAGGGACGGTCGGGGATTGAATGCCGACCTGCATGAAGTGAGACTGTCACTCTACTGTCCAGCCCAATTGGTTGGGTGAGTAATATTTTTATGAGAATTGTAAACAAATTACTCACCCAACCACTTGGGTAAGTGGAGAATACATGCATAATCCCAATTGTATTCTAAAAATATCTACTGTAAAACAGCATGACGACGACATAAAGACATTCTGCATGTGGTCTCCTCCTGTAAAGAGTGGTTGAGGCTCATTCTAAGGCCTTCAAAACTGAAGGTATTTAATTTAGGATACATACACAAATTTATTAGCAAAAATCCTATTTATTTAAAATGTACATTTACTAATCATACTGTAACAATTTTTTGTGTTAGTTACCTGTAGTTTTTTAAAGAAATTATGAATCCTTAAACACGTATTTAATTTTAAAAGTAAGTCCTGTTTCCTTAATACATATATCTGAAATTGCTGAAGTTTTCACTTGGGAGCAATATATGAAATAGATATAAATTTATAATTTTAATACTGATTATTCTTTAGAAACTTTTAAACATAATATTGCTTAGTGTATTACAGTAGTGAAATTGTAAATTTAAGTTAATATGGATCACAGCAACTGGACTGCCCATAAATAGGCAGGATACACACCTCACACACGATCTGTAAGCCACCTTCAATACCAGAATAGACTCGAGGCTACAGGCCTAACAAAAACTTTAAACAAGGCTTATGAGAGCAAATCTCATTACGATACCCAGCAGGTCTTCAAGATATACTGAGCGGGCCCACAACTGATCAAACACTTAAGTATCCACTTATAAACACGTGAACATCTTTCCTCAATCCTGACGACTTTGTTTACGTTATTTACGTGTATGTGAGTTTATGAGCTCCAAAGCACCACTAGGCTTGTTTTATAACAATAACAGCCTTGGATTATGACTTTTCAAAGCTCATAAACTGTTTAATATATGCAGAGTTAAGCCACTATGATCGACGAGAGATGTATCGTGCAGATTTTGTAAGTGGACACAAACGCTTGATTAATCCTTACTAAAGGATAATTTTAATCTTTGACAATCCTTAATTAGGATTAAGAACCTGCCTGAAATGCTACCCATGCCAGTGGCTTTACAAGAATGTAAGAACTCTTGTATATAGAAATAAAAATAAAAAAAAAATCCTGGCCAGGGTGTTCAGGATATATAACGTTATATAAACAAACCGCAACTTCAAGCTTTTGCCAAACCATCACACAGATCCCACTCCAACATCTGTACAGCAAGTCTTCTCCCTGAGAAATAAACTCATGGCTTAATCTGTAGGGCAGCTGTTGAAGGAGAGTGGGAAGGGTAAGGAGTGGGAGAGGCAAGGAGAGGGGAGTGGGAGAGCAAGGAGAGGGGAGTGGAAGAGGCAAGGAGAGGGGAGTGGGAGAGCAAGGAGAGGGGAGTGAGAGAGGCAAGGAGAGGGGAGTGAGAGAGGCAAGGAGAGAGAGTGAGAGAGGCAAGGAGAGAGAGAGGTGAAGAGGTTAGGAAGGAAAAATAATGAGGACAAGAGGTAACAAAAGGGAGAGAGAGTGCATTATAAAGTCTAAACTCTCATACAAGTTTGCATATATATGCCTATCACTGAGCAAGTATGTGTTGATGTATTTTTTACCCCAAATCCTATTACAACAAGCATTGAGGAAATCTGTAGGAGCCATGATGACGGTTCGGACCTATGTGGTGGATACTCCCATGCACACGCTCTAGACCACAACACGGATAAGGATAACACCCTGGAGTTCTACTGAACACATGAGGGTTTCCCGAGGCTTCCACTGAAGCCGAACAAAGATTTTCACACAATCTCCCCAATGCACTCTAGCTCATTCATCTAGGAATGTTCTACCTTTACCGCCTAGATGACAGAGCCAGAGTGCATGTAGGAATTGTGAAAACCATGATTCGGCTTCAGTGGAAGCCTCGGGAAACCCTCGTGCATTCAGTAGAACTTCAGGTTGCAATCCTTATCCATGTCGTTGTCTAGTCATCTATTGCATGTGCCCGAGAATACCCACTGCATAGGTTCGAATCCTCATCACGGCTCCTACGGATTTTCTCATTGACACAGTCACGTCAGTGTGATTACTCTGTGTAAAGCAAGCATTGTTACAATTTTAGCACAATTTATTTTAAAACCTTGGAAGGCCTCACCACTAAAGCTCAGAAATTATTAAGAAGTCAATGGGTCAAACTCGCTGACAATGTTTCCGCACTCTACGTGACAATGTGTGTTTGTTCCTATGTCCGACTGCTATTATCAGCAATAAGCTTGTCTGGCTTACTTCCACACCCTGATATCTACAATTGTCTTCTTGATTCCCTGCCCAAATTTGCCACACCAAGATGTTAAGTCTAAAGAAGTGTGTCTGGATAATGATTTTTTACTCATTTACTTTTGATGAAATATGCTTTATATCTATGAAAAACACAAAAGTGCTTTGCAAATACTGTATTAGTAAGTAATTATCAAAAGAAGGCACCAACTCGACAAGTACTGTATAGTAATTCTTTATATCATAGCGATGAACAGGTTATGAAAATACTGGTACAAATGAACAAATCCACTGGTACAAATACTGGTACAACGTGAACTGGAGCAGTCCAAACAAATGTGAATTAAATGCTAAGTTGTACATTCATATGTTACACATTAAAATGTTTCTAGGTCATATATTCTTGGACAATGGTTGCCCTGAAGACCTTAAGACCTCCAGAAGAACCCTCCCCCCACCCCCCCTGCGCAAGCAATACTGGTCATCACCCGTCCCTAAGTACTCTGTGGCCCATTTACACATCTCATAACTTTAAGAGTACAAGAGCAATAAAGTATAATGTACACTAATAAAAATATATTAAAAAATCATTATTCAAATCCTTAATTTGGCCAACTTTACCAATAAGCTTGAAATGACTTCCTTAATATGAGTTTAATCTCTCTTATACTTTTGTAATGTTTTCCGTTCATACAGTAAACTTAAGATACTATACATTTCTGGAGCAATTCTGTTACATATTAAAATACATTGTGAAAAATAAGCAATATAAAACCCTTTTTTTATCCTTGTCGCACAACTACCATGAGGAGTTCATTATGTCGTATCATAATTCTGCAGAACATGTTGCATGTGTTCATTGTCAGAAATCTTGGTGGCACGGGTTCTATTCTTCCTTGTCTTTTTCCTGATGGGCTTCACCTTTGGCCCCGTATCTTGCATAGATTTGATGCCCTGTAAGGGGGGAAGGGGGGAAAAATATGAAGTTACTACTCAACAAGTGGAACTGATGACTTCATAAGCAAGAGGTGCTGGTCAAACTATTTTCAAAGCCACTCTTGTATGAATTTTCACGTTCATTCCTTTTACAAAAGGAGTCAGTGATAGCGTATCACAATAAAGTTACCTCTCTCCAGCAGTCTATCTGCAATAGTCAGGAGTCAATGAAATCAGGACATTACAATCACTAAACAATGGACATCAGGATCCTTCACACGTCACAGGGTTACTGATCTGTCAGTCACCCCCTGCACACAGTCTAGAGTGAAATGCAAACTTGGACAAAGGCAACGTGGGTAGCACAAACCACAACTGTAAAATGTAAAGGAAACAATAATAAAGCAATGGGCCTCATTGGAATATCATTCTAGGTATAGCCAGCACCATGTAGCTGAAAGTGTGATGCAAAGGCTGGGCTTTGTCAGAGAAGTGTTTCTGTACCAATGACCAGGTGAGTGAGTGAGGGAGGTGGCAGGCTCGCCCCAACCCGACCCCCAGAGGCCAAGGCTAACCAAAACAAGGCCATCCAAAAGCAATCCCTAACTGGAAAGGGCCACAACAAAGTGAAGAGAAGAAAGAAATGAAAGAACACAGTCTAAAGACCAAGAAGGCTCAGGCAGCACATGAGCAGGCTGGAGGTGAAAAAATGCACGTGAAAGCTTGCGGAAAGGAACAGAAGCAACATCCAGTCCGAATGCAAGCTGGAGCAGCTCAGCCAAAGGCATGCAATAAGAAGCGACAGTATTAGGTATGAGATGCCGAGCCAGAAAAAGCCGAGAGAAAGGACAAAACAACCCGGTCCAAAATCGCCGAAAACCTTCGAAGAGAAAGAAAGACGGAAAGACTGCCAAGAAACTTCATGCTGTCACTGGGAAGATCGCAGGTGGGGATACCATCAAAGAACCCACCTAATCATCATATAAATGGTAACACACACATTAGAAAGACCAGACGCATAGTGCGGAGCAGGAAGATGAACCAGCAAAATACCTCACTGGCCTGATCTACTGAAAGAGGCGGAGTCGCAGAAAAACTGCTCGGATTCGGACACCGAGCAAGCAGCACTTTAAACCAAGGCTGGGCCAGCCACCATGGAGCCAGGAGAACCACTCGCCCTCAATGGGAATCCAGCTAAGCCAGAACCCGGAGCAACAGGTAGGACAGGAACCCCCACCTCAACCAATCCTGCTGAAAAGCGTCTACTGCAAAGGCCTCGCAGTCGAGGAACTGTGCCACATACAATGGGAGACACTGAGACCACGCCAACGCAAAGAGGTTCACCTCTGGGTGCCCATACGTCTGACAAAGCCAAAGGAAGGAGGCGGAGTTGAGGGTCCACTCTATGGAAAGAGGAATGAAACGAGACAGGCCACCTGCCATGACGTTGGACACACCCTGAATGTGAATATTTCAAGCAAATGTGGATATTTCAAGCAAAGCTGGGGTCACCACCGAGACCAATAAATAAAACCTACAGATTCTTGTGGAACAAACTAGAATACTAATCAAACACCAAGGGATCATGACTATCTCTTTGGTATACCATTAAATTAGAAACATATGCCCATAATTCCTGAAAAGCAAAACTCAGTAAACTATAAATGGGTCTGTCTTTTTTGACACAAAGTAAATCATAACAGGGAACACTAAGTACGAGGCGAGTTTATAACCATCCCGTTAAGATGGTAGCCGAGCCTGATTGCAGAATTCTTCACAGCCTGGCTAGCTGAATACATACCTGCTTGTTGAGATACTCCTCAATGTTGTCATCTTGCAACCCGTCGACAGAAGTATTTCTCCATAGCTGTTGGAATTCCTTCTCTACTGGGAAGTTGATGCCCTTGTCGTGGTAGAAGATAATCTGTTTCTTATCTGTCTGTCGCATTATACGCAAGATTTCCTTATCCAATTGCTGTTGAAATAAAGGTTTTGAGAGTACAATTTACAGTAAGAGAATATGTTTTAATCAGGAACATAAATGTTTTGTTTTCTGCTTCGCCAATGAGACTGCTTCCGTGGATAATTATTTTATGAGTGTTAAATCAAATCAATCGTAATAATTTCAGTTTTCCATTTTGTCGGGGGACAGGCAGCCTGTGTAAGATACACGTTATGCTTATATCAAGGTTCCCCCAAACTTGAACTACTGACCTTCCCCAGGATGCAACTCCACAACATTTGACTAACTCCTGGGCACCTATTTAGTGGGTTATGGACTGTCAAGCATGTGACAGTCCATAAGTTCCTGCAAAGTTCCTGCAAAGTTCCCTGCAAAGTTCTCTGGATACAGATGCCTACCATTGAAATGAGAATCATTCCCTAAACTACCTAAACTACCATGTGGCTTGTTTCCTCACGACGTCACGATTGATATCGTCACTGGCTAATGGTAAGGCTAGAGGGGAGGTGACATCACGTATACTGATTCGTGGCTTGGTGAAGTTAGTGATAGCCTCACTTAGGAGTAGGCCAGCTATAGCTAGACATTCAAGAATGTGGAGTTGTTCAGTGTTAGAGCTGGATGTTGATGTTTGAGTAAACTGAAATATTTGCCTGTTGCAGCTAGCCCCATTCATTGTTAACTTGCATTTCACTTACATTTAGTAATGGACAGCATATTTACAGTTAAAGCTATACATTTTGCCTTAAGTTGGTGACTGGTATCTCAGTATTATTTGCAGGCCCTTTTGATTGCATTACTGCCTGCCATTTGTTTGGAGAACTTTAACTGTTTTCCTCTTGTTGTTCAGTCCAGCAAGTGCTAGATTAAGGGTAATATTTCTGTAGGGTATTAAGGAATTAGGGATCCAGTTTAACTTGTCACGATCTTCCAAGTATCATGTAAATATATTACTGAGCCTCCTGGTTGTTCCCTGTTCCTATGTATTTCACTCTGCCTTTAGATACTGTTCAAGTGAATTAACCAAAGGACTATTTATTTATATATACTGTACATACAAGAGTTCTTATATTCTTGTAAAGCCACTAGCATGCATAGCATTTCGGGCAGGTCATCTTAATCCAAATTTTCCTCGGAATACGACCTTCCAAATCGTTTAACAACCAGGTACCCATTCACTTCTGGGTGAACAGAAGCTACAGTTAACAATTGGCACCCGGACAATCCTCCCCTGCTAAGATATGAACTCGGTTCAAAGCGCTTGCAAAGCACCGGGCAAGTATCTTACCACTGCGCCAAGGGGACTGTCAGGGACTAAGGATAAGTTATAGTTAGAGGTAACAAATGCTAGGTAAACAGAGGCAATAGGTGATAGGATACATGCTCAACTATCTGTCCCAACTGGGATTCGAACTCGGGATTTCCGATTGTGAGCAGAGAACAAAGCCGACTAAACTTTTGAGACCCTAATACACGAGTGCAATTGACTTTCTTACCTATACAATACAAATAAAATGAAAATGCTTATAACATTCAAAACAGAATTAATAAAATGAGGTTGAGAAGCTGACCTTCATAACTTTGTCACAATGAGGTAGTGACTCCTGAATGTCATCAAGCAGGACCCCACCGTGGCCCTTCATGTCATGTTGACGAAGCAGCTTCAGCAAGGACTTCCTGTCCCTCACTGGCAGCGGAGGTTTAAAGTTGTATTTTCCATCCACTTCATGAACTTTGGGGTTATTAGGAAGGGCCTCCGTGATCAGCCACTGAAACACACAACAAAGAATTTATAGTATAAAACTGTACTGTACATATAAACCCAACTATACATTGTATGTTACTGCAAACATTAGCTACCAATACACCACAGAGGAAAGTCATTGCTTTTGTAAATATTTACTTGTTTAACTTTCGGTCCCGCATTCAACTGATTCGTCTCGTCCAAAATCTCTTCAATTGACAATGGGTGTGTTTCTCCATCCTGATGTCTGGTTTTCATGTGACGAACGATTCTTGCGAGTACCCCAAATTTGTACTGACTCCCTCCTGTCATTGATTTATATCTGTAGAATGAACAAAGTGATTGCATAAATCAATGCCACAAATCACAGAAGAATAGCACTTCACCTGTTTCTTTCATATCAGAAAAGCATTATGGTAAAAAAAAAAAAATTACATTACTACAATAGGATACGCATTTAATATTATCTTTTTATATGTGGTAGACTTAAAAAAGTTTCTAATCTTGTAAGCAAGCTTCCTTGGTGACTGCCAGAGACATTGGGCCTCACCTATCCATCACAGCCTTCTTGAAAGTTTTGATCTTTGTTCCAGCAATATTTCTTACATTTGCTGATAAGCAGTTTAAGAGCCAGGGAGATTTTACATGATCATAGAATTCTCTTACGTGACCCTAGAATTATGGCATCTGTACACTTTACAAGACTTATTCTATGCTTCCTAGCATATATCTTGCTTCAGTATGTTGTAATTTTTTGTGCAATTTTGGAAACTGATTTTCCATTTGTAAATGATGAGATACAGTATCTGTCTATTTCCATTCCTGAGAGAGCAAATTAAGTATCATAATGTGGTCACAGTAGTTTATACGTTTAACTGTTTTATGTAAGATATAAAGAATCTCTTTACATTTTCTGTTTTACCAGCCTCGAAGGAAGCTATGAGCAAAGAGCAATATTCCGTGTGAGGCAGCACTATTGCTTTCATATATATCATCATTGGTGTTGGCTAGCAGAAAGCAAATTGACTTGCCATTGTAAAACATGGGAAGTACTGTACTAGGTTAGCATTGGTTAGTAGTGAGTGGACAGGCTTGCTCTGGTCTGACATACAACCATAAGCATGGGCAAAAATGGGATGCCCACTTTCTTTTAAAATTTGTTCTTGGCCACGCCTACCTCGGAGTGCAACCTAGTACTGTACAGCCATGTTGTGTACAGGGTTCTGTTGTTTTAACATACTATAAGTAGAAAAGTATTACATAAAAATAAGGTGGCCTGACAGCCGAGATGGATTACTAATCCCAACAGTGCTCGGGATTAGTAGTCACAAGGTTACGGGTTCGATCACCGGTGGAGGCGGTAACAAATGGGGCAGAGTTTCTTTAACCCGGTTGCTCCTGTTCACCTAGCAGTAAACAGATACCCGGGAGTTAGACAGCTGCTATATGCTGCTTCCTGGGGGGGGAGGGGGGGGAACAAAAAGGAGGCCTGGTCAAGGACTGGGCCGTGGGAACGCGAAGCCCCGAAATCATCTCAAGATGACCTAACCTAACCTGAAGAAATAAAGACAAAAACACATAAAGCCTTTGATCTTACGCAGCTGGATCTGGTGGTGGACCTTTATTGATCTTCTTTTTAGCTAGATCGGATACGGCAGGAGGAGCACTTCTCTTCTTTACTTCCAATCTGAAAATGAATTCGGAGTTTAATATGAATAATAACCTCTTAATATTTTGAAACAAATAAAACAAAATGAAGCACAAAGCTTGACTAATATGCACCATCAGCAAAGAAACAAAATAAACATCTGGTGAATTTTTTGAGCATTGTATACTAAGTTTTCTACAGTGAGGAAACAAACGTGTGGAATATAGCACCAAAATAACAATGCTTGTCAACTTTGATAGAATATATACTGTACTGTACCGAGTAACATAGACATGACAATGATGTTCTGTATACTTTGTTTTAACTGTCATTAGGTCTTCAACAGCTTACATGCTGTACTTCACACCTTCTCCTTGACCTCCAAAACATTGTTACGTTCCATTATTTTCATGTATGTACAGCTCAAGTTATTAAGATGCTGTACTGTATTGTGAATAGTATTTCCATTGGAGAAATTAGAGAGATTAAGAGATATTTTACACATGAGAATTAACAAGGCATGCAGTGCGTGAAACAGATGTATCCCTTTCCCTACACAACAAATGTGGGAGATCTTTGACAAGCTGCTGGCTTCCTGTCCTCATTGAGGCCCCTAGAGATAGCAGCTCTCAGGCAAATTAAAGTATATATGATTCGTCAATTCAACAAGCTATATAGGACCAACAGCAATTTGTTTCAGCGAGGCATTTGTTGCAATCGGAGATACAGTATTGTACTTTCAGGATGCATTTCCCTTGCTCTATGGGCTAATCTTAATAAAATTGTAATTTCAACCTATAATATATGTAATCGACAACTACCATGTGAACATGGCTGGAAAAAAAAATGACCACATCTAGGTTATTTCTCACATCCCCAGCCTCAAAACCCATTTTCAACAAGGTAGCAGGGCCATACCTAACGTTACCATACCCAACAAAAACCTTGCCAACCGAAAATAAAAACAAACCATTGAATTTAGTTTTAAATATCCTCAATAGTCTTTATAAGGATACATCTGTTTCTTGTAATATTGAGTCCATTTCCAAAATCATCAGAAATGTGATTGGAGCCATATTAACACTTTCGCGCCTTATATTAGAGATAACTCGTCACTGGTTTTTCTTACGATTCCGCATAACTGCCTACTTTTCTCGTCAATCGAAAAAATATTTCTATAAATTCCATTTTTTAACCGAAATGGATGGGGATACTTTTGTTTTGTAGAGAATTTATTTGCGAAGTTTTTGGTACCAGAATGAATATTATATCAAATAAACTTCTATGAGTAAAAAAAAAATACACAAAATATGTTTGGGGGTGTGGCGAGCGTGTGGCAGTGGGTTCCCTTTAGCCGTTGATATATCCAACACGTGGGAAATATTTGTATGTGTTATGTATATGTCTGTGTAGGGAATTTTACTGTGATCACTGTCATACAAATTATAAAATGTTTCAACAAGTATAAACATGACAAACATCAAACGAACGAAAACAACGCGTTCGTTTCTGCCGCGAACGCATACTGAGCGACGTGGTTCTATATTTGGCGCTTCTCTTACACATGCTTTGTACGAATGTTATACAGTTCATCTTATAGAAAATTTTATTGCAAACACATTGGTATAAAAAAGAAATACGTACATAGAAAAGTAGGGTCAGGAAACGTATAAACTTTCCAAGCATGATTTCCCCCCTGTGTTTTCGCCAGTGCGCTCGCGGCTAACTACTCTCCACTTCACACACTCTTGCGGGTGGGCAATTACCTATATTAAACATTCATATGCATATGTCCGTGTAGAGAATTTTATTGCGATTCCAATGATACCAAAATTAGCGATGTAGGACAACTGTAGGCTTCGCAACCATTAAGAAAGTGGAAACATTTTGTTGCTGTTTGGCGCTCTCGGCGAGTGATCTGCATAGTTTTTTTATTTGGTGTTGATACTCCTTATGCTTGGGCGGCATTTTATAGGTATGCTCTTATAGACAATTTCATTGCGAACGCAGTGATACCAAATTTAAATACGTGCGCCTTCAATTATTGTCAGGACAGTCAAAAGAGTGTACACTTTTTTGGTCTTACCGCGTAGGCGCGCGAAGTGCCGAACGCATCTGGGGTATTGTTTTTTTTTGAGCGCCGAGAGCGCGAAAGAGTTAAGAGTTACCATTCATACCCAAATATTTCCTATGCTCTATGGGTTGTTATCACCGAGCAAAATTATCATTTCAACCAGTCATATGAAACACCACAATGAGGAGAACTCGTCTGTAAAGAGAGTTAACCACATCTAGCATATTTCCCACGCTTAAGCCTCAAAATCCTATTTTCAAAGGAAAATGTGCCTATATTTTACCGAATGAAAATCTCTATAACTGGAAATAAAAGAAAACCAACGTTGAATGTAATGAAATGCCATTTTCTGGGTGAGCCCTAGAGGCTCCCTGTAGCTTATCGGGCTAATGTATGTTATGTTAGACCGGGACATTAGCTATGGAGTTCAGACCTACCAGAGACCATGAGCCAGAATCTGGCCCCTTCAGAGAGGTTTCAGGGAGCAATGGCCCTGGGAAACCCCCCTGTGGTTGGGGGTTTCCTCATCTGCCATTGACTGGGGTTAGGTACCCAGAAAGATAGGCATAACCAAACAAACCCCACGTGGTAAGAAACTAACAACAAAAACTGAACAGAGAGGTAGAACTTCCTACAATCCAAAGGAAACAAGCAAACACGCAAACAAGCAAACGTAACACACTAACTCCATGCCGCTCATCCACGCAGCCCCTCCCCTCTCCAAGAGGGGCAGGGGGGCCACGGACCTCACCAGGGAGGTCTGGGGCCAGAGCAGCTCCGCCAGCGCCGCACGATACGAGGCGACAGTAAGAAGCATCAATTAACAGTCCTGAAAACCAAGAAAGGACAAGACAACCCGATGCGAAAGAGAAGATAACCTACGAAGAGCAAGAAAAAGGCAAAAAGAAACGCCAGCAACTACACACTGTTGCCGAGATGAAGCTCGCGGGTGGGACACCATCAACAAAGCCACCTGATCACCATAGAGATGGTGATACACCCGCGTCAAAAGACCAGACACAAAGAGCCGAGGAGAAGGCCGAACCAAAATTTTGACAATTTTCACACAATACGCAGTTCAACAGGCTTTACATGTGTGTTCGAGCTTTTTTTTTTTTAACAAGTTTTTTATGATAGAATTTTTGGGGGGTAAAAATAGATCAAAACAAATTAATTTTTTCATTATTTGGAAAGAAATTAGAGTTTTCCTCTAACAGAACTATAGACATGCATCTGGGCTTTCCAGTGATACCATCAAAATAACTGCAATAAAATTTGCAAATGCGAGACAGATTTAAAAAATATTATTCAGTCAATACTTGACAAATGCACCAAGTGAAAGTTTGTGGGATGTAGAGAAAGACTAGCAGCAACCTTATGCTTGGTTACAGGTGCTATGAAGGATACCATCAAAGACACATCCGACACTTCTTCATACTGTATTACAAAGTTGGTGGGATATAGGGAAAGACTAGCAACAACCTTATGCTTGGTTACAGGTGCTATGAAGGATACCATCAAAGACACATCCGACACTTCTTCATACTGTATTACAAAGTTGGTGGGATATAGGGAAAGACTAGCAACAATCTTATGCTTGGTTACAGGTGCTACAAAGGATACTATCAAAGACACATCCAACACTTCTTCATACTGTATTACAAAGGAGGGTAATAAGAATCTACAACCGAGATCAGTATTAGATGTTAGAGCCTTGTTAAATTATGCATTAGAAAATCAGTGTTTCCAAATGCCTGTACTTGTTAAAATGTAAAAAATAGTCATTGGTATAATTCATAAAACAAATTGGAAAAAAATTGTGTACATGGAAGAAATTGGTGAAAACATGAGCAATAATGTTAACAGTTTGTGCTGAATATGAAATTAAAGATGACAGGATAACTCAAACATTTTTTATTGAAAAAACCCCAGCATTGAACATAATGAAACGCCATTTTCTGGGATAGTCCCAGAGGCTTCCCAGAGCTTCCAGAACTCTCCACAGAAAAAAAATTGTTAAAGAAATATTTTTTAAATAATCCAGTACTCAACAAGATTTAAAAACTCACAGAGATCCTTTACTGCTAGAATCCACTCAGTAAAACATCTAAACTACTGGGACCGACTAAAGAGCCTAAATCTGTATTCCCTTCAGCGCAGGCGGGAGAGATACATACAGGTAATAATCTATACGTGGAAAATAATTGAGGGGCTGGTCCCAAACCTGCACACAGAAATAACATCACACGAGACTAGAAGGCATGGCAGGATGTGCAGAATACCCCCGTTGAAAAGCAGAGGTGCAACAGGTACTCTGAGAGAGAACTCTATCAACATCAGAGGCCCGAGACTGTTCAACACGCTTCCACTACACATAAGGGGCATAACTGGCAGACCCCTCACAGTGTTCAAGAGAACTTGACAAACACCTCCAAAGGATACCTGATCAACCAGGCTGTGACTCATACGGCAGGCTGCAAGCAGCCGCGTCCAACAGCCTGGTTGACCAGTCCAGCAACCAGGAGGCCTGGTCGACGACCGGGCTGCAGGGACGCTAAGCCCCGGAAGCACCTCAAGGTAAGGTATAGCTATGCAATTCAATAATATATATATATATATATATATATATATATATATATATATATATATATATATATATATATATATATATATATATATATATATATATATATATATATATATATATATATATATATATATATATATATATATATATATATATATATATATATATATATATATATATATATATATATATATATATATATATATATATATATATATATATATATATATATATATATATATATATATATATATATATATATATATATATATATATATATATATATATATATATATATATATATATATATATATATATATATATATATATATATATATATATATATATATATATATATATATATATATATATATATATATATATATATATATATATATATATATATATATATATATATATATATATATATATATATATATATATATATATATGTATCAACAATGGGTTCAAGAACGACTACAAGTACAGTC